CCCCCCCCCCCCGCACGCACCTGTGTGTGCACACGTGACTGCTCACATCTGCCAGGAGCCATCGGAAAGTCTGTCTTTGGACACTTAACAGCGGGCTCGAAGCCGGGCAGGGATCACGCGCCTCTTCTCAGGTGGTCCGTGGTTCTGTGCCTGACGCTTGGTGGACTGGCGCTTCCCGGAGCCTTGCGGCGTGAGGTGCCGTGAGGATAGTCGCACCCCTAGGAAAACATTCATTGGTTATTTCTTTTTCTTCGCCATCTGAGAGTCACTGACGATTCCCTGTTGATTCCCAAAAGAAAAATTCCTAGAACCTTTGGAGTTAGAGGAGGCTGGGAGACGTGTGCTGTTTTGCTATTACGGTTGGGGAAGCCGAGGCCCAGAGGAGAGACCTGGTGTCCCGGCCGTGTGTGCGGCAGATCCGCCTGTGCAGAGTACAGCTGGGGCTGCTAGGAAGCCTCAGAACACACAGTTTATTGGCCCAGAAAACATCCACCCAGTTACTGAGCCGCTTCTGTTAATTGCTGCTCTAGCTCCGTCCCGAGCAATAAGGTTAATCAGAAGTTTGAGAGAAAGACTTCGGCCCGTCAAGCTCACCTGCACCCTTGGGAGGTCACAGCAGGAAGCTGCCGACTGCATGTTTCCCCGAGAGCGGCGTCAAGTGTGTTTGTGGGCTGTGGGCGTGGCTCTGGGGGTTGAGCTCTGCGGTTTTGGTTTGCTTTCTGCTGTTGCTTTTCCTTCAGTTTTAACCAGAAGACGTAGTGCGGCCCTGGGTGGTACTAACAGGTGTCGGCCGTGCCTGGGCTGCGTTGGTGGGTGTGGGGCGCTCAACCCCGGCCCCCTTCCTGGCCCTGGGTCTGGTGCCTGAAGACGCCCAGCTGGGGGGCAGGAGGCCCCTGGGAGGCGGGAGCTCGTCAGTGGGGGCTCCTTCCGGGGGGGCTTCTCCTCCCTGGCTGCTCCCATCAGTCCACAAGCAAAGGGGCTGCTTGCACTTGCAGCCCAAGCTCACTGCCAGCTTCTGGCAGAGGGTCCAGCAGCTGCGGCTTCGCTAATGGTCTTCGGCCAGACGCAAGATCAAAGGCGACATGGCGTCCAAGATGCCACAGGGCTGTCGGCAGCTCCTCCCTTCTCTCCAGCGTATGTCAGGGAGGCATGGCCTGTGGCTGGCCCCCCCCACCCCACACTTCTCACCGGCTTCTAAACAGCTGGAGTTCGTAGCTTTTACTCGTCAGTAAATTAGGGTCCTTCTCCTTAATTACTGCCCCAACTTTGACCCCAATACTATCAAATTAAATTCAAAATGAAAAGGGGCCCCGGGGGATGCATAGATAAGCGAAACGTTAGCCTTGGAAAAGAAGCGAATCCTGTGTCGGGCCATGACGTGGATGAGCCTTGAGGACGTTGTGCTCAGTGGCATAAGCCAGACCCAGAAGGACAGGCAGTGTGTGGTTCCACTTCTGTGAGGTCCCTGGGCAGAAGGTGGGCAGCAGGGGCTGGGTGGCGGCGGGGAAACGGGGCTTGTTGTTTAGTGGGTGCAGTTTCAGTTTTATGAGCCGAAGGGGTTCTGTAGGTTGTGCAGCAGTGTGAACAGAGTTAACTGAGGGTGCTGCTGAGCTGTGTGTGTGAACGTGGGTGAGAGGATACATTTTAATTTCTATGTATCTTACCATAATTTAAACATTAAAAATATTAAAGGGGACCAATGTGGGTAAAACGAAACAATGCTTAATTCCTAGGCCAATGGATTACTACTTTTATAGGAATCCATTGCTTTAGAGGTTAATGTATATGTTACCTTACACTGTAACAGTACAGATGGTTTTCTCATCAACACTTTGATGGCGAGAAAACCGAGACCTCATGAAGAGCTAATGAACATACAGAAGTGAGCAGGTGCCTTGCTGTGAGATAAATCCATCATTGGGAAGGGTGTCTGTGGTTAACAAGGAGACTAAATAATTCCATGCTAAACTGATGACAGATTTACGTTTGCTTTTTAGGTGAAGCCAAAAATCTTCCCACCTACCCGGGGCCAAACAAGATGCGAGATTGTTATTGCACCGTGAACCTAGACCAGGAGGAGGTTTTCAGGACCCAGATCGTGGAGAAATCACTCTGGTAACGTCTGCTGCCGCTTTATTTGCTGCTGACAGTTGCTTCTGTGCGGAGGGTGTCCTCACTCCATCCTTATCCTCTCTGTCGGCCTGAGAGAGGAACGGGCTCCCGGGGCGGTGACGGCTCATGGTCCCTAAATGCCCGTAATGACCGGGGCAGAGCAGGAAGGACAGAGCGCATAGACTTATTTGTCGGCTGAGAGGTGGGTGAGGACATTCTGAGTCGAGATGAGCTGGGCAGTATATAGTGCAACAAAAGAGTGCAAATCAAGGATTTCAGAGCATAAATATTTGGGAAGCTTTTTTTTTTTTTTACCATCTTCCTTTTTCTAAAGAGGCTCAAGACGGAGGTGGAGGTAACTGTTCGCAGAGATCAGAGACCTGGAAAAGCATTGTTGCTAGATTTGAGGAAGGGCGGGGTCAGGTGAGAGAGGGCAGCATTTAAGCCTTAAGACTGAGAGGTTTGCAGCCTAAGAAACACGTCCGTGCCCCTCAACCCCAGCTTGTGTAGGAACCGTTCGGAGAGCCTGTTAAAGCCCGGGTGTCGCCCCAGGCGGGTAGGGTAGGGCGGTGATTTGCATTTCCCACCAGCTCCAGGCTGCTGGCCCCGGACCCCGCCCTGGGGTAGGAAGTGGCGGCACCTGTGGTCACAGCATGTCTCCGGGAGAGGGAGTGGGTAGGTGAGGGGGGCCTCTGCCGCCCTGGCAGGCGGGTGGGGTCGGTGGCGTGAGTCTGGGGAAAACACAGCAAAGCCGGGTGCAGAGTCCCAACCAGCGTAAGTGGTTCTGGAGCCCGTGCTGACAGTGGGCCCACCCTCGGGCTTAGAACTGTGGGTTGTATGGGTCCATCCAAAGAGCTATCTTGGGCTTGAGAACATTTTTAGCAGATGAATTATATCCTTGCATGTTGCTGCTTCTAAGTGGGAACAAACAGCACGTTCTGATGACTTAATGAACTTAACTTTTAGAAACTGTTAAGATCTCCTGCCCCCGAAACATGGAGACACTTCCCTTCTCCATCTGCCCCGTTGTCGCCCAGACTGGCAGGGCTGCTCCTGAGGCCCTGTGTTATTTGAATGCACCCTCCGGATTCTCTGAAGTAATTTGTTGAAGGAGAACGAGAAGACCGAGGAGTTTGTCAGGAGCCGCGTGTGGCTTTGGCACTGGTGTTGAAGGTGCTGCCGTCGGGCTATTTCCGTGAGCTCCCCAGGAGACGAGTCCACGTTGGAGGGCTGTAAACCTGGAGAACCAGCGTCTGTCTCTGCAGAGCTGGGCTCCCCGCAGACCTGCCGGGTGAGGGTCTCTGGGAATTTGGGAACCTCTGCTTTAGTTGAGGCCGAGAAATAGGGACCATTCCTGAAAATATTTCTTACAAGTTTAGAAATAGAAATCATAGTTTCTGGTTTTGATGGCACAAGAAAATGTGCTTTTGGAGCAGAAAAGGGAGGCTGAGAGCCACATAAAAAGAGTGGTGTAGTAATATTGTCTCTTCTGGGAAGTCAGCTACCTGTGATACAGCCAGAATCAGGGGCAGCCCCCGAACACCGTCACCAGGAGCCAGTTAACTCTAGTGAGTATGCCGAGGTGATCCTCCCAACTCGTCAGAGCGTCTAACCCTTCACAGACCATTCCTGC